AAAGGCAGTAAGCTCCGTAACATCAGCCTTAATAACTAAAAAAAAAAAAAAAAAAAAAATAATAATGTTATTAATGTATCATTTAGCTGGATTAAAAAATAACAAAATTACAAATATAAAAAATTCAATTAGAAGTTTTTTACTTAAAACTGGTTTTTCAAAAAGAGCAATTAATTAATTATCATCTTTTGGATATATTTTAAGCTATTCAAAATTATATTCAAATATAATAAATTTAGAAAAAAATCATAAAATATATGTGCAAAATTATTTACAAAATAATTTAAATAATCTTTTTATTATTAATATAGATGATTATCATGATTGTTATCAAACTAGACTTCCAACTATGACTTCTAATAGTAGAATATATCATATGTTAACTATATTAGTTAATAGTATGCCTAAAATTTTAAAAATTCTATTTATTTCTTCAAATAATTTTTCTCTTTTTTAAAATTAGATTAATTTCAATTAATCATCTTAATAATGCATTAACTAATGAATTACATAATAATTTAATTAGTTATAATAGTCGTAAATTAGAATAGAAAAACATTTCAGATATTTTATCATTTTTAACTGAATCTTTAATAGAATCTTTATCAGTTCATATGTATGATGGTACTCTTGAAAATCAGCATATGAGATATTTTAATAATACTAAGCTTATTGATTTTATTCCTTCTAATTTAAAAAATACTGATGATTATTTACAAATAATTAATACTTTAATAGAATTTTCAAATATTAAAGGATATTTAAATAATAATATAATAATTACACCTATAGATTTTCCTGGTCAATTATATATTCGAAAACTTATTGTATATAAATATTTTAATCCATCTTCTAATAATATTCTAAAAGAAATTAATCAATTTGTTTCTTTACTTGGACCTTTATATATTTCATTAAATACTCGAAAAACATGTGTTATTAAATTTCATCCATTTTTTAATGAATTTTATAAAAATGTTTTTAACAAAAAAAATTTAGCAATAAAACCAAAACTATGGCAAATAAATTTATTGCTTTATATTACATATGCTGGATGGATTAAAATAAGATCTAAAA